TTTAGAGGAAGGGTTCTGTTTGCCATAATTCTGATAAGATTTGTCCATTCCTCTACTTCTTCATTTTCAACTATGTATTCAGCCACTTTGGGTAGATAACTAGACACATCTTTGATAAAATGCTTTGCTTTGTCGGTTAATTGTCCACAATCGATGATAACATTTGCTTCATCTTCTTTTCCGTTGTCTGATTTATCTTGGATCTTAGGATTTCCATTTGCTTCATTCTTTTCTTCATTCTCAGTTTCTAAAACCTTTTGTTTTTTTATTGGAGGGAGGTCCAACGAATCTTCTATGTTGACTAATTTAATGTTTCTTTTCTTTTCATTTGGAATAATACTTCTACCAGCTTTAAATTCTATTTCGGGTGTTACTTTAAAATTTATATTTTGGAATGTTCTGTTTGGAAGAGTTCTTTTCTTGATGATTAATTGATCTTTTGTGTGATGATGGATGGAGTGATGAACTGTGTTTTCAAACGATGATCCTGTGAATTGACAGCGAAAACAACCAAATTCTGTCATCTGTAAAACAATTGTATCGTATGTACTATAGCTCTTGTACTGTATATATACAGCAGTAAAACGTCGCACCAGATGAAAAAAAAAACACAAGCAGAAGTAGCATTTACAGGTGCCGAAAGTCGCATATACAGCAATAATATTCGCATCGTTATCAGAAAATTTAATATTGTATCAAAATGTGAGTCTTGTGAAACATGAAAGAAAGAAAAAAATCACTTACGATTAGAATATCATTTACAAAAATCAGTTTTAACATAATTAATGCAATATAATTTGTGTAAAACAAGAAAACTGCTTATATGGAAAAGTCAAGTAACAAACATTTATAAGGTGTAATTAAAGCAGTTACTGGTGTTTTTCGCGTATATATTCATGGAACAAGCAATAATACAGAAAAAACATTTCAAACATTAATAATTACCTCTTAATCAAATAAACTGCCATGCCGGAACGTCAAATTGATCTGTGTTGCCTCATTGATGTAAACCATAGTAGCGAGTGACCGAAACCAAGATTTTCTCGATTCGCACTTTACCAGCAGTGAAGTTGATCCAAAGGAAGGATCACTCCATCTTTCGAGGATAGATAATGTAATTTTATGGTATCTTCAATATCTGATGAAATATTACAGTAGACTATGGGCCTCTTGTTTTTCTATTCTTACGAAGTACTAAGAATCTATTCAAAGACTGCATTCTGAAAAGAAAAAAGAACTATTGTAGTCACCTTCAGCTTAATAATGTTAAGAAGTATCGATGACAATTAAAATTTTATTTTTATGTTGACTCGATATGTCCAAATGTACTCGAAATCAAAGAAACCAGTCTTTTACATCTGTTTCCTATTTGGATATTTTACTATCCCCCATTGCCGATCGCCATATAATAACGAAATGTATGCCATGCGGACTGACTTCAACCTTTCAGGCATTATCTTCCCTAATGTATGTGTGATACATGTATTCAATCATCACCTGAATAAGGTATGTATGTATCCTAACTGATTGGCAATACATAAAGATGGTTCGAGTTTTTAAACAAAGCATGACTAATGTAAGTAAGTTAATTTTTCGGGTATTTAAAACCTCTTTTAGAGGGAAGATTACAAAAGTCATTTTCTGGTTAGAATCGCATTGTTTTAAATAATACCTACCATCGGACCGTATTTTGTTTGTTGTTTCATTTATTATGGAGATTTATCCATTTATGTATATGAAATATGTATATAACGATCGGTATTGAAGCTCCAAAGTCCATAAAACAATACAAGTTTGGAGCAGAGCAAACACGGACCTCCAAAACATCAGAGGTTGGATCAGGTGCCATGAAGGAGCGTGCATCCACTGCTGACCGGTCACATCCGCCGTTTGCTCCTTGTCTTGATCAGAAAATAGCGAAAAAGTCAATTCGACGAATCAGTTTGTAAATTACGGCCTAACAATTAGTATGAAAAACGTCAGTCAGCATTTGACTCAATGACAAATTGTATTTGCTGAAAAGGTCATTGCATCGACCATAGAACCATAGAACTTACGAAATCATTACTTTAAACGAGACTTCTATTTCTTCTTTCATTAACGTGTTTTTGAATAATTTGCCTCGTTTTAGAAATTTTACATACGTAAAGCATGCTCTTGCGTATCGAACCAACTGTGAGATATAAACCCCGTATGCAGGTGATAAAGGTACATTGCTGCATAAGTAAGGGAAGTTGACGATTAAAAATTGAAGACATCACAGTTATCATAGAGCTTGGTAGTTAGATTAAAATAATGTCTCTTTCAAGTAAAATATCCAAACATGAAACATACGTGTCAGACTCTGTGATAACTTTTATTTCAAGCTCAACGGGATGTGTCGTATCGACATAAGAATGGAAATAACCATTGTCAATTGATAATTTGTCGTTAGGCCACAGCAAGTGTTTTCTTCATTTCAAGTACAAATGTTTGGACAAATCTGCCTCCTTTGAGTATAAAAATAAGTATTCCAATTACAGAACGCAATTGGTACCCACAGAATTCCAATAAATTGTATGGTCTCCAAAAACCACATAGATATTGTCAATCAGAAACTCAAGCATCTTTTAAACATCAAATTCATAGTACTTGCGTGTACAATAAGAATGTTTTCAACAAAATAATTATGCAAATGGCCAATGACAAGGAAATTTACCAGTTCCATTTTTATTGAAAAGAATCTATGAATTATATAAAAAAAAGTTGGACTTTAATTTATCGTCAAATTAATGTTGGTTGTTTGGTATATTAAAAATGTTCAAAACTGACATATAATTTAGAAGTATTTCCTCCTTGGAAAGGGATTTTAGGGTATAACATTGATTACCATTAGTATCTGATCAATACACAAGACTAAAGATAGGTTTGACAAGTCAATAAAGGGGATAATTTCTCTTACAAGTCACCTGATCCAACCTCTTGTGTTTCTAAGGTTCATGTTTTTGTCCTACTCATGATCAAAAGTCTTAACTGGAGTTACTATATTACCATTACAGGTACACGTAGAAGTAGTTCTCGGCACTCAGGTGTCATAAAAGTATTTCAGTTGACGTTCACGTCGTAACATGGCTTCTGCAAAATTATTCATAAATCGACCTTCCTGATTTTGTCATTTTTAAACGAGACTGGAATTATACCCCGGTATTTTTAATTAAATTAAATCCCTCATAAGGATTTAGGGTTTAGTGAATTTTGATTTTGCCTACTATATTTGCAAGGGGAGGCTTTATCCCTGCACTTGATTCTCAAGCATTGCTCTACTTGGACCAAAACAAACTTACGTTCATTGCTGGATTGTTAAATTTTTTTGTGTACTAAAACATTGAAGAAGTTTACCAGATCTGAATAGGAGACCTCTCAAAAACTTGTTTTCAATCAATATCGCCTACTCAACATTATGCATTTTTCATAAGAATAAAAATCAAAATTTAATATTGCTGTGCAACCTAACGTCATTGATCAATGGAGGATCTTTTTCGTGCTATTTTCTGCCACTCGGGGCCTCATTTAAAGCATTTTTTCCCCCATTTTGTTGTCATGACTAGTCTGAATGACGTGAAATCAAATCTGATTTCCTTCGACAATTAGGAGAAGGATAAACTTTCCCACTTCATGTACTTTCGACCGAAGACCTTTGATATACCCATCGCTTTTTTTTCTTCCCTCATAGAACAAAAGCCGTGTTCCCCCATCGAATGTTAGTTATTTCTACTATACGGAGCAAGTAAAGGAAAAAAGAGAACTTTCTTTCTCTAGTAAGTGTATATCTTAAAAATCTAAGATATGGATCAAATGGCGTCTTACGTGAGTAAGAGAGAGATTCATTTTTAAAAAAAAAAATCTCTATTAAAGATTTTATTCTTTTCCCTACATAATAGTTCAATTCCCATTCCTTAATTTAGAACATTCTGTCATGCAAGCAACATGTGTCATGTTATATTACAATAAAATTAAGGAAAAGGCATGTTCTCTGTAACAAACCCATTTCCTTTTCTGTTGTTCTGGTTTAATTACTTTGATAGCTGAATCACATTGACAGGAAGGGAAAAAGATTTTATAGCTGCATTTTGAGATTCAATAGATTATTGCTTATATTGCACTATTATGCAATATTGTTGAGAATTTAATCCTAAAATACGAAAAACAATTTTAAACTTTAACAAAATATATTGATTAGTTGATAAGAATATTAAATGATTTAATATTTTAGACGATTTAATCAATGTGAGATCATTGTTGCCACAAAATGCCTGATGTAAATTCTACTTTGCACGGAGATATAAATATTGACAAGATAGAATCAATATTATATTCTTTAAAAAAATATTTTAAAATAGCACAAAGTGTAATTTAGTGCACTCATGGCTCATTCAAAAAGAAAGATAAATCTTAATGAATTGTTTTTTAATTATGTTTTATTACGAGACAATTATAGAGGTACATGTATTAAGATCAAATATTAAAATTAAATTATATACGTAACAAAATGCTCAAATAAGAATTTAGGAATAAGCCCATAAAATTCTCTATCAAGATTAAGGTTTTGATTAGTGCAACACTATGCAAGAGAAAGGGTGGAATACGTTGGAAATGAAAAATTAAATTTCTGGACATTTTTGGTTCAGTTCTTTCATACTGATAATGACTTTAAGATTCATGGTTATCTTGCCAAAAGGATTAATAAAAGCTGGTATAAATTGGTTATTGAATTTTTTATTTAACAAAAATATTCTTATGGAAAATCATAAAATAAAGCTAGTTAACTGAATCCTTAGAGAATATTCCCCCTCATTAAAACATAATATAAGAAATCAATAAGTGGAAGGGAATTGACAGTTTAGGGAATCGTTTGTGGGTCGAAATCGATTAGAATTGGGGAGTTCTGGTCTACTGGTCACAATCAAAAACGGAAAACATTTAAACAACACAGCTAAAGTCGCTGTTGATATAAACATAATGCATGATTTAAAGTTCCTTCAGTAATAAGATAATGGAAAGACCAAGAGGCAGAAAGAACTGACAGAAAGTTCTCTACAGGTTTAAATATCTGATTTTGAATAAGCGAAATATCTAAGATCCCTTGATATGTTGGGACAGTGTGTATTGACAATTGGATAGTCACCCAACTTGAAGACAGGTTTTGGACAGGGTGTCATGAGCTCATAATGCCTTCACCGATTGATTATTGGGGACAGGAAAAATGACAGCGATGCAGTAATGACACAGGTTTCTCCTATTAATGGTAAGTAAATTAGTAAGAAAAATCATTTGTAGAATATTTACTGTTTTTATTTATTATATGTTCAAAGATTCATGTCATGAATCAAAATGTCAATGAAAGGGAGATTTGTTGATGTCATTCTTTATCAATTTATCAAAGAGGGAAACAAAAACCTTCAAAACATATTTGATCATCAATAATGTATATCAATGCTTAATTTTGATTGAAGGGGCATGTCATAAGTGTGATATTTCCACATTTTCTAATAGATTCAATAAAACATTTGTTCTTGCCAAATAAAAAACATCCTGTGTTGATGATTCTCTCCAAAATATAATGTAGACGTCACAAAAACGTTGACATTTTACTGAAAAATGAATATATTCAGCTATAAATTATTTCATAACAATTTGTAAACACATATACAGTTTATTAGAAAGGATAAACATATATTAATATTTAGAAAGTTTTTACAATTGGTTTTATATATTTCTGATATGCTTTTCTAAGGTTCTTATCTCAAAAACAAAATAAAAATACAATGTTTTTAAGTTATAATTTAATTATAAAGAAACACTTCATTCATTAACAAAAATTTCAGAACAATGCTTTGCAATCTTTTTCATATTTTGTTAAAAAACAGTTATTTTAATTTGAATCAAAGATCTCTAATTTGACATTTTTATAAATTGATTTAACGCTGTTAAAAATATGAGTTTTCACTACCGTTACTTTCATAATAGTGAAACATAAAAAAACAAAGTGTGTGTTAATTTCAACTGGATGTGTGGTTTTGACATTTTGTAGAAGGTTCTATACATAGTCACGATTTTAAGCGATTACGCTAAGCTGATTTGATATTATGGGTTAAAGATTTATGTATTCATGAGTAATTTCGTATTTAACAAGATACCCATTAATCACAATTGCTCATGAGCAAACATAAAGCGAAACAAAGATTTAAATTGCTCAAAAAAATTTAAGTACACAAAAAGAGCTGGACTTCATCATATTTTTCCTGTATGTTTTTATTCCCAAAGATATGCTAACACTTTTGATTCATTGTGATAGTTTTCTTTCTCTAAGCTTTGTGTAGTTTTCAAAAATAGAATATTTACCATTTAGAATGAGTGTTCCTGCAATTATTTGCATACCCTTTGAATGTTTTACATTTTCTATTAAAAAATCTCACCTTAAGGAACTTGATTCAGTTTTGAATTGGAATGTCAGACGATTTCTCAATTTTTAAGACCTTTGAAAGATCAAAGATTTTCTGTTATAAACAAGTTTAAAATGAAGAATTCGATAAAAAACAAGTCAATCATTTTGTTTACAAGTGGGCATTGGCATAATGTCATGCAAACACTTTGCGTTTAGGCAATTTAATTCCGAAACACATTAAATTTGAATATTCCATGTTTATCAACAAACTTAATAAAAGCACATTTTGTTTAATTTTGTCATGCATAGAGATAACTGGTATTCTAATAAAGGTAAAATGTAAGAAAATCTTCTTTTGAAGCTTATTTCGGTCAACAAGGGATGTTTACTCCTTCATGGCACCTGAACCCACCTCTGATGATTTAATTTAGAGGCCCGTATTTGCGCTGCTACTGATGTGTACTGTCTGTATAGACTTAGGAGCTTGAATGCTGTTCGTTATCTCCATATGTCATTAAAAACCAAAGTGCAAAATGTTTATTCATTTAGCTAAACAAAATAGATAGGATTTAGTTATCTATCATATTGATTTTACATCAATAAAAGTCTATAGAATAGATCAATAAATGTGCAGTAGGTAATTCAGAGATAAGATAACATTGATTTTATTGACAACAAAAAACCTTGAAGGATTAAATAGATCAGAACAATGGTGTTGTCGCACCGAGGCCTACTGTAAAGATTCACTCTCTAATAGTTAAATGAAAACTCAACCACCGTAATTCACCAACCCGTGTAGAATTTCGCATGACATTTACGCTAATCAAGTTCAACTTTTCATTTACGTATGCTTCGGGTAGATGAAAAGTAGGAGTATAAACAATCGAATCTTTCAGTTATAGAAATTTAGATGTAATATCATTTTCTCATTTTAAAAGAGTATTGATTAAAACATATTATAATCCATTATTCACGCACTCTACCGACCGCAAAACATGGACTGAAAAAACTTTTTTTATTTATAAAGTGTGAAAACATTTCTAACCAAAATATTTTTGAACACATTTCACCTGAACTTAATTGAAAATATATACAGGAAATTACTGTACAAGTATAAACCACATTTAACGTGTTATTTTATGGCAACTAAACTAAAGAAAAAAAATTCCCTGATTTATATTTGGAATTATGGTTTTTCAAGTTCTAGTTAAATCTCAAGAAACGGCGCCATTTTTGATGAAGTTCAAAAGGGTTATACGTGTACACGAAAAAAAAGACCCGTCAAACTACTGAATTATTTGTTTTACATGCAATTTTCATATTTTCGATATACTCAGTACTATATGCAGCATTCAAAGGGAACAACCAGTAATATTAATCTGGCTCACAAGGCAATTCATTAAATATGCATTAAATGGATTCTTCTCTGGTTTCTGACTAGATAAAACATTCGAAGTATATTTGCTTATATATATCATATATTTAGGTGTAAGGGATTTAAAAGACCATATTTTTCATTTCTCATCACAATTGTACAACGTTAAATAGAAATGGTAAACTGCGTTTGAAAACTAGCAGGAACTATATTTTTGGCGGAATGATGGCGTATGAAAATATCTTCTTTTATGCTTTTCAAAAATTATAACAGAACAATGAATTTAATTTTAAGGTTTACACAATCAAAGACTTGAATAAATTTTAAATGTAATTTAAATTAATAATAAGGGACTAAACTTTCAAAATATATCAAATTAATATGATTTTCCAAACAAACTAGAACTACGATAGCTTTTAAACGCTTCCAATCAAAGTACAGATTTGAGCGAAAAATCCATAAAACAGTATTTTTTCTCTCTGAGTAAACGATAAAAACTTTTTGTTTTTGTATCATTTTGTACCTTTATAAGACTACTTTATAATATGTGAAAATAAAAAAAAGTTAAATATAGGAAGCATATGAAGATAACTAATATAATTATCCTAAAAAATAAAGAAAAACAAAGAAAATTCGGATTAGCCAATATCCAGTTTAGTTAAATTATTTATGTAAATTTCATAATACTATGCTATAACCCCGATATAATAATATCTTTTTATGCAAAAAGAACAATCTTTAAACTTTTGAAATAGAAGTAGGCACCACATGATTGGCAACAGTATCCTTTTTTATTCATAATGTCAAGGGAAAAAATAATGACCGTGACCTGGCCTTACCTCTGATATAAAACGGTCAAATTTAATCTCACTGATACTATCACTTACTGATATTGTCTTCTTGATTCTGAGAAAATTTCGGCTCAAGTACAATATAAGACAAAAAAAGTTCCAATTTTTTTTCTCGTAAGAATATATATTTTTGGCATATTCATTTATATTCATAAATGTGCAAAATTAGCATATTTTGCATATGAATCAAATGTAAATATTAATGAATATTTGGGGCCATTATTGGTAAATTAGTTATATAAACCAATTCCATTCAATATTGTCAAGCAATTATTATATAAAATGGATTATAAATGTACGAAACAAGATATGTATCTTGCATATGATTTTATTTAAATTATCAATGAATGTAATGTGCACTTAGTATAGGTCGACAGGTCGACAGGTTGACAGGTAGACAGGTCGACATGTTGACAGGTCGATGGGTCGACAGGTAGACAGGTTGACAGGTCGACAGGTAGACGGGTCGAAGGTTGACATCAATAGTACTGTGAAGTCAGACCTGTCAACCTGTCGACCTGTCCACGTCAGCCTGTCGACCTGTAAAATTGTTGTTCAGAAGTAAAAAAAAATGTGTTTTTTTTTTACATGTATCCTTGGTTTTTAATATACTAAATCATTTTAATAAAAGTGTTTGTTAATATTTAGTAAAACGTAATTTGTATTTAATGTTTTGTACATACATTTATATTAGAATATAATTGATATAATTATACATGAATGTTTATGATCTTACAAAAATATTATAATAACAAAACCGATTTACTGCAGATTATGTGGATGGGATTATTTTCGTCTTATTTTCGTTAATTTTTAAATACAAGAAATATGAGAAGAATCCTACCTTAAATGATACCATAGAATCTAAGATTGTCAACATATTTATATATGTAAAAATAGGGGTAGCTTCAGGAACTTATACGTACTAACAAAGAAAACAGATTACTAAGCCTTCGATAAACTTAACTACTGGGTCTTATTCTTGAATTGCATTTTTGATCATATCAAGAAAATGGAGTCGAACATAAAACCTCTGTAGTATATGCAACGTTTGCACAGAACAGGTAACCATAGCTCCAAAACACCAGAAACTTTTATGATTTTGTTTATAGAATCAAATGCGTTGAGGTAATTGAGAAACACACACCCACATTCAGAAAAGTTTATTGGTAACCATTAAGACATTTCTATGAGTTTTATTCATTCAATCTGGGCACGTGAGTTGCCACTGTAACATTTGCACCTTAAAAGTGCGCACGTTAAAAAAGATTAAAGCGCAGTACAAATTATATCTATTTTTTAAGCAATGGGAAAGAGTTTTGCTTTTTTCTTATTTACATTTGACAGAAGAATTAATCGAATCAGAGTGCACTAAAATCATTCACGTGTACTTTACAAATGAAACGTACTGGAAAATTGAGAATTTAAAAAAATGATTTTTATGTTTTAAAAACAGATTGTCAAATTCATTGAAAATGTTTTCATTTAATAGAAATTAATACTAAAAATATGAATAAATAGTTTAAAAGTACATGTCATAAAGTTACAAATATTTGATACCAGACACGGAGTCCAAAACACTCATTGGGATACCTATTACACTGCCTCAATGTCCTATAGAAATTGATTCAAACTTGGCAACGTTAAACAAATAATTCGATTTAAATTCTCATTAAATTGAAATATATGACCTCGAAATTAACTTACAAATAATGCTTATTTGAAAGAGATTGAATAACAGGTATTAAAATTTAAGGAATGACCGGCATAATACTTAAGAGAATACAATCAAAACAACGAATAGTAATCAAATTCAAACATCCAAAGGAATGTTACAAGTTTGGAACAATCCAAAAGGGCCCTTGAAAAATCAGAGAAAGGATCGAATTCCAAAAGAATAACTAGCTCATTATGGACAATCGCACCTCAATGGACCCTTTTCCTCCATGCACGTGCTATTTGTAGACAAAAATTATATGAGAAATTACATCACATTTTAAAAATCAAATACGACTGTTAACATTCACCTGAAGAAAGGCTGTATTTGAAAAACAAGATCAAAGTTCATGTAAAGCACATTTAGTGTTTTCAAAATATCGATTTTATAAGATTGTTGAGATAGACACACGGGAAAAAAATGTTTAAAGAGAGCTTTTCATAATACACATGTACATGTAATACTTTTGATTTTTGTGCGTCTACACATTTTGTTCATATATATGAGAGAAATCGGATAGACAACCAAGAAACCTCCATTTTCAAGCAATATAGAAAACTTTGATTGAAGACACTGCTTTGTTTGTCGCTCGCTTGGGGTATTATTATTGAAACATGTACCCTTTCCACATATTTTACTTTTACTCCTGTTACCAAATTTTTAAAGGTCTATTTATATTATATTGAAGAAAAAATTAGTTGACTGTAATATCAGAAAGTTTGCAAAAAAAAAAAATCATGAGAAATTGGATGTATTGCGTAATTATTGATGCATTTTGATTCTGTTAATTATAGTTTAACAATTTTGTGATTTTAATACATTAGAAGTCCTAGAGTTTTAGTATCTACTTCATCTTCCTAAATTTGAATACTCGAGTATGTTGTTCCATATACTGATAAAGTTTCTTCTTTGCTATTGTTGATATTTTCATGAAGAGTAAAAAAAATATTACAGAATGCTATTAAAGTGGCACGATTTATATCCATGGGAAAAGAAAAAGAAATATTTTTTGCACCAGAAGAATTGTATTTTATTTATCAAGTTGACTTAAAAGTAGAACAAGGAACTAAAAATTAAATTTGTATGCACTAATATTCATAATGAAGAATGCAATGTAGCAATATAAAGTAATATTGAATGTTACAGTTTCTCGAACGAATACTTATGCGATTTATCTTATGTCAAGGTGACCTTCCGCCATCTTATAATGACGTGGCTGGGCGTTCAGGTACCCCGAGTAACACACTTCAGACCGCAGGAATCGGAGGAGTGTGGTTTACCCAGAACAGATCCGCGCCTTTGAATCCACCACCATACACAGATACACTCCCAGGATACGATGATAGTTTTATAAGTCCCCGAGACCTTCCGAAGTATTATAGATCATATGATCAAGCCCATCAACGCACACGGAGACACAGAGTAAGTGATTATTTTCAAGACAGTTAAAAAGGAATAACCAGGAAAGACTTCCTTTTATCATATTGGTTTAGACAAAAATTTTGAAGCTCTCTATTGTATATTTAAGGAATCAGTGTCTAGATTAGTAGGGTATGCCAGGGCATTAACAGCAGTTGGAAACGTTGGATTATTTGCATAAGGGGCTTCGCATGATACTCAGAATATATACAATTGTAAAGCAGAAATTAGGATTTCTCATAAATAAAACAAAAGTGTGATATCCTGATTGTTTTGAAGATATCATTCCACTATCACCTGTACATGGTGTTTGCTTCTCCTAACAATATTTGCAACATTTCAATACATAGGTAGGGCTAACGATGGATGTGACCGGTTAACAAGGGATGGCTACTTCTCCAAGGCACTTGATCCCATCTCTGAATTTTATGTCCGGTTCACATCTTTGTATTGTTTGTAGTTTTAATGAGATCGATTATTGTTTGCTTTCTTAACCCATTTTCATCGAGAGAGAAAAAAATGAAAAGTATTTAATGACTTTTACTTATAAATTAATATTTATTTATGGCTATGGCCATCTGTTTTGTGATGTATCATTAACTCATATCCATGCTTGCTTATCAAAAATATTTTTAAAAAAAACGTGAACGGCAAAACAAACTGTATTGAAATCGGTCAATGACATAACACACAAAAAGAAAAAAACTCCTTAGTGAAAGAATACGTTTAAATCCAAACAAATCCTTTATCTACTTTATAAATTGTGTCATACGCATCATTTAAAGTCAATGGTCTGGTTTGGACTATTTATCTTAAATTTCAAAATAAAAATGACTAGGGATATTACTAATTATTGCTTATGCTTTTGTGATTTCACAAACTTGATTAAAAGTTAAATCTCAAAGATCGAGGTCATTGAAGCCAATTGCTTTTATTCCCAATTTCCTATTCCACAATGGAATTTATGCTTAATTTCGTTCTGTTTATTAGTAGAAAGTTGGACTATCATGGTTCACGGTCATATAATTTTAAAATAAAAACAGAAGAAAAGATTTACCTGCAATTATTCTCCAAGGCAAAAGAAGACAGCATTTTTATAGTTTAAACAAGTATGCGTATATTTTTTAGATGTGTTTTAGGACCATTTGTTCATGTCTACGTTATTGTTCAAACCATTGAAGATTTTGTCCGAGAGCTGCATCTCCTAATTTTGGAAAAAAGATTAACTCAATACACTGGAACAAAATGCAGACTTGATCTTTAACTTGTCAGGCTTGACTACATATCAACAATCCGCTAGATATCTGCAACTTTGGGAACAAGTCTTGAGAAGCAAAGTTTGAAATTCGGTGCAGTTTAGAAAAAGACCATAATTCCGTCCAGGATCAACGAAGCAAAACGAAATGATATCTTTTCTGATATCTTCAAGAGTTATTAACCAAACTCATTTCAATACCTATTTTAATCTTTATAGTTGTCTTAAGATTTGAAAAATCAAATGGGGCGGACTGTTAGACAAGCAGACAGAGGGATGCAGACAGATGTACAGAGGAGAAACGCCCAGTCTAGAATTCTACTTCAGTTTCGATGTTATTTTTAACGAAGTTTTCAGAAAGAATCTACCATCTCCTTCGTTTATTATAACATGTAAAATCTTAGTAAATGTTGCTTTGGAAGTGTACTGATTTTTGTATATCTATATTACAGGGTATTTCAACGGTTCGCACCAGGACTGCCAACAGTAAGACGATCATCATTGTCTTTTGTGTTCTGACGATTTCCCTTCTTATAGGACTAATTATTGGACTCAGCTTTATGTTAGCAGAGCGAACATAGCAAAACCTGTTAATGTCTGATGATATCGTTACGTAATAGAATTTCTTGTCTGAAATTCTTCCTGTATGTTCATCAAATTCTAATAGATTATGTAAGGTGATTTGGAGAATAACTGATCTGAAAATGAATGCATTGGAACTGTTCATGATTTGGAATAATGAATTATATATGACTTCCAGTTTATTCCCGAGTGAATCAATGTCAATTTTTCTCCTGCAGACAAAGCATTTTTACATACTTAGTTTTTCTGAAAGATGTCGGTTCTGCATTTTTCATCAGAGAGGAAACTGTGAAACAATGTGCTAATTAAGCTTTGAGAATATTGTGGGTCATGGTTTGATTTTCTGTAAAGAAAAAAATCAATTATCTTATCAAGTATGCTGAATATGTATATTTTGAATTTAACTCTAATAATGTTTCGTAGGTTTTAGATGGCGACAAATTCTTTGATAGTAAAACCAGGTATCAAATATTGAGGTAATTGAATACTGTAAACGTATTACATTTAGTGGTGTATTCTATTTAGCGATTTTGGCGGAAAGCAGGGTCCGCTAAGTCAAGTACATCGCTAAAAGTCTTGTATATCAAACATTTATAACTAGCATATTCAGATAACGCTAAATCAAATCTGCGCTAACATGTTGAAAATTGAATTTCCACCAAATATCGTACACGCCAAATGTAATACATTTACAGTATGTTTCTATATTTTTGTACTTTAATTGATTGTTTAAACTTTGAATTTAGGTTAAGTTGTACAACCAACTACTCATTATCATTTTCTGTTTATGAAATGCTTCATCAGAATTAGCTAACAGCAACAAAAAGCTTTTGAATAAAGCTATTTATTAACTCGTTGAGGGATTGAATTACTAATTAAGTATATATTGCAATGTGCATGGTTTTATGTTGTTTTCAAACGTCTGTGATATCAAACCTGTGATATGTACATTATCTCATTTACTGGAAATTTTTGCAATATGAATATTTTTGTTGTAAAAGAAAATGTGGACAAATATTTAAACGCCGTTACGTTTGTTTTTGTTAATAAATACTTACATATAAAGTATCTAATATTGTTTATCATATTTCGAAGCATGTTTGGAAAGAAAATACTTCAGAATATCTCATTTCAAAATTTCTCTTGTTGTGCAAAGTACTCTCACGACAATTAAGTTATAAGAGAAATAATTAATGTCCACGTAATTAATATTGTTTTAATTCGAAAAAATGCGTTCTAAATAATATCATACATGTAAATGTCATAGATACATTTGGAAGAATTTTGCATAGTTTTCGTCTTTTACAAGAGTTGTTAATATCTTTAATGTTAATGGCTGCAATTTCACATTAAGCATTTTGCTTACAAATCTATTACATACATTTATTATTGTTTATAAGGCCAAAGTTATTCCGAGAATAAAACCTACCCTCAAACACTTAGAATACCATAAACAAATAAATTTCATACATGCATTTAAAACTGGCTGAATATCTAAGATTATGCAATTGTTTGCTGTCAAGCAATCCTTATAATCAAAAGACATTTTCTGCTTGTTTAAGCTGATCAACTTTCCCCTTACTTAGACAATTGCATGTGTTAAACAAGTCAATCAGAAGAAGTGAAACCCCAGAAATTAGCACCTACATCGATGTTGGAATTATGATTGACGTTTGTTGTTGTGTGATGGGATGGTAGATATATAAGGTATGTGAATGAAGTTTCTGTATGTAAACAGAGGAATAAAATTCCCCGAGAAAGTGTCAGACATATTTTTTTTAATGTAGTTTTTCAATCAAAACAATTGACGATCTGATTAAAGATACGGCGTTGATGCGCATGTAGTATTTGTTGTTTCTATTTGGTTACAGATTCATGACGTTGTTGTGAAGGAATCCTTCCAAAAATGAAGACGGTCATTGTAAACAATGTTTAAAAAAAGAACCACAGAATTGATCCAAAAATTTTGTGTTTTACATTGAATGAATTAAATTATAATAATTTGACTATTGAAGACACCCACGTAGTGCTTCTCATTAACTTCCTGCAGGAATTAGCATGCGTATTTCAGTAAGTGTATATTTCTATCTATAGGGGCACTTAAATCTACATCATATCCGAGGTAGTCCAGTACCTAAGAACAGATTTAGAACTGTGTAGAAGGGGCTATTCAGCATTGAAAAAAGCATTGAAAGTAATTAAATAATATATTACAAGCCGTCCTTGACCATTAGGTGTACATTTGTACATACTAGTAGTTGCTGTTTAATCGGAATGCAGCTGTTTGGAAACTAAATAGGTACAGCTTCTAGTTTTTCCTCATTATCAACCCCCAGTGCATATTTTTTGCCTTAGAAATCGTAAAGCAATAAAAATTAATGAAATAAAATTGAATTTTAAAAAATCAATGAAAAATTTGATAACATCGAGTTTTTTTTATGTGTTTTCCAACGGATTTATGAAATATTGAAAAGTTAAAAAGACTTGAATTTGGCTTTGAATTGATATATCATAATTAATAGATAAAGTTGTTGACTTCCATCAGACAATAAATCCATTTCTAAATCTCAGTATAAATCCAAAGATTTAGTCATCCATATCCAGTTCAAACTGCAGACTTATACATACATCCCTTCCAAGTTCTCTACCAAAAAATTATTACTTCTCCCGAAGTTGTACCATATAATTTAACTCCAGTGCAATGCTGTGATCTGATTGTCTTTTTTATATTGGTTTAAAAATCAGTCAATGTTTACAAAACGACAAACTTTACAATTTACTTTACAAAACTTTGAAATCAGGGTTAGAATATACCTGGGAAGATTTTTTTAACGTCAACAACTGTGGCAAAGAGTCAATGACAGCGTTCCTAACACTGACGAGGTTGGACTAAAGTCATCCATACTTTAAAGCTGTTGATGTGATACATTTTATATGCACTGAAAATCTAGAACACATTTGACTGACGGCCATTATCAATCCTCGAATGTCCGCTTGAAAAGCGGGAGGGTATATAGTAATCGGGATACCCATCCGTTCGTCCGTCTGTCCGTCTGTTACGCATTTGGGTACACATCTTATCCGCAACTCCTCTTTTATCACTAAATGAAATTTAATGAGACTTTCAAAGAATCTTTGTTATCAAGTGCCATTGTGACCTTCTATTTTACGTTTTGATCAGACACACATTTTGGGTTTTCCAGTGCAAAGCATTGACACTGCCATTTTTTCTATAATATTGAGTGCCCATCTCTTATCTGCAAGTAGATCCTCCTAAACCACTGAATAAAATTTAATGATACTTTCACAGATTCTTTATTATATAATGCCATTATCAACCTCCTATTTTGCTTTTTGATCTGACACTTATTTCGGGTCTCCAAGAGCAAAACAGTGACTTTGTCATCATAATCATATGGAAGGCGGGGTACTAGTATCATTTAGTGAGCTCGTTGCTCACAGTACCTTTAGTTTTTTTCTGTCATATACACATCTACAATCCCACTCTTATATCCCTAATATTCCATTCCATTTGATGTGCTTTGAAATGACATCTTACATTTCAATCATTTATTAATTTCATATTTTATGATTTGGAAACTTTTAAAAAAATACCTAAGAAGAACGAAAATTTGAATTTTAAACAACATAACTCTTCTTTGATCTTTATTAATACTGTCAATTTTACAAAATCATCATTTTGACCAAACAGCAGGTTATTTTGTAAATCAATATTTTTGTTACAATTTTTCTGTCTTCTTATGTTTTCATCAATATTTTAAATTCCTGGCAAAAAAAAAAAACAAAAAAAAAACACAGCTAAATTAAGATATAAACAAGCATATGTTCTATTTCCTGTCAAAAGAGAGAGAGAGAGAGAGAGAGAGAGAGAGAGAGAGAGAGAGAGAGAGAGAGAGAGAGGCTTATTTACCTTTGACATTGCAAGTATCACCCATAAAGCCATATGGACATTCACATATGAAATTGAATTCATCCTTGGGATGACACGTACCACCGTTATGACAGGGAGAACATGAGCAGGGGTTCTCTTGTTCTATAGAAGATTTAGTTACAAATGTGTGATGGTAGCCTCAAAACAATAAAATAATCACATTAAAATTACCAATTGTGAAGAAAGCATATGTTTAAGTTTTAACCTTTGACATTGCAGGTTTCTCCTGTTAAGCCAGGTGGACATGCGCAAAGAAAGACACTTTACATTATTTTTTTTCTTTGACTATCACTTAAAGGAAATAACTCTAAAGACGTCTAATCGAACATGTTTGTGATTGTATTAATTGTACATTGTTTAACGACCCTCTCGTGATTATTTCACTCATATGGAGACGCCATCACTTGCCGATGGAGATCTGCAAATTTTGTCTTATACTCGGCACCTAGGGCCATTGAGCAGTGAGGAATCTTTTTCGTGCCAGCACCTACTGCGACACAGGACCTCGGTTTATACGGTCTCATCCGAAGGACTGGTCTCCACGTCCCACAGTGGGATTGGATATGTATGTGAAAAAAATTATGTTGTTGAAAAAGAAAGCTTAATATATATATTCAATGAATAAAAATATTTAAATTATTAATCAAGAGATCCATGGGCCAAATATGCGCATTTAAAATGAATAGACAATACAGAATGGAGCAAGTTATCAGAGGAACGTTAAACAACATAGAAACAAACAAACAAAACAACCAATAGCACGAAAATTTACAACAAAATTTATTGTTGGGATTGACCTTTTCATCTTATGAGTTCATCATTTCCTCGATGACAACTTTTTCTTCTCTTTCTTAGAACAATTGCTATAATTGGAATACCATCTGCAGTTCTTCCAACTAGATCTTTATTCTTCCGGTGTAAAGACGAATAATGACCCCCATCGAATAATGACCGGGGTGTCATTTTTCAACGACAAAAAATGACCCCCACCCGTAGAAAAAAATCATTTTTTGTAGAAAAAGGGTCCTAGGGGGTCATTATTTTATATGTTAGTCCTATAAAATAATGACCCCCATTGAAAAATGACCCCCTTTAAAATGATACAAAATAAACACTCTTTGATATCTTTTTTACAGCGAAACTAATTTTTTACATTTTCTGTAACCAGAAAAATACAAAAAGTCGTATGAAATAATTAAGAGATTCACGTAGTCTTTCAATGCTTAAATTGTGTTTGAAAAGAGATTCTTTAATTGTCAAGTACAAAAAATTTCTTTTTAATATTCCTCCTTATAATGTTTGCTTAAAGAATGATATTCCACTTGTTTTTAGAAATCAAACCATGCAAAAATCAGGTTTAAATACTCTTTGATAAGAAAAATTAAATTTTCCGTCATTTCAACTTTTAGTTTGTTTAAGTTTGGCAAATCCTATTTGACAATGAAAGAGGAGGAAATTTTTATCCCCCCCCCCCAAAAAAAAAGAACATTACGTTAAATCAAAACAAAAAAATAATGATAAATGAAAAACAAAAATATAGATAAAACTCTATACCTTTCAATAGTTCTGAAAGAGGCTCTAGATAAAATATTGAAATGAAGTTAAGCCTTCATACAAGTACTATCATATCCTAATTTACTTCGCCATGATTAAAGCATACTTTAAATGTTGGTGGAGGTATACTTGAAAGTATTGTGGAAAAGTAACAGTTAAAAATTAATAGAATATTAGATTATTTTTAGCTTATTTTTAATTCCTTCTTATAGAAAAATAAAGGTAGGGTGGTTTTTTTTTTTTTTTTGCTTTTGTTCAATATCGACTTCCTCCTAAATAAGAAAGGGGGTGGGGTAAGTATAAGACCTAAAAAATATGCTCTGTAAAGCTATGGGCTAGTGTAAAATACACAGTCATTCTAATGCAAAAACTATACATGTAGACATAAACTTTTGATTTAGCACACAGTATTTATTACATTTCTTTTTACGTAGAACCTACTTCGTATGACATCATAACTGGTAAATGTGTTAAACCTGTGCTAACCCATTAAGACGTCATAATTAATTCAATGCCACTTTTTCCCGTACTTGACAGCTTCAATAAAAATGGTAGAAAATACTGCATTTTGAAATTCACAGAATTCAATCATGCCAACATAATCTTAATTCAATTCATATATTTTTTGGTTTATAATGCTTAATGGCAATATATTTCTAGAATAAGAGAAAATATGTAGGCACCTTTTATTTACTAGATCTAGACCTGAAGTTGACAAACCCAAGACTATCTAGTGTAATGAAATTACAATGTACATACAACTTTCGTAATAATTTGAATGGTATGTAACCATTTTGAAGGAATGCATAAATCGGAAGAAATATTTAGTTGCCAGCTATATAGTGTAATATCTTGATGAAATGTGTCCAAGTCAAAGACGTACGTGTTGTAGATCGTTGGATCGTGTGTACATTTTTGTGATATCTATAATGAAATGATGTGCATTCCTTTTAACAATTATTTGTTACCTATTCATATTCTTGGTGTTTGATTACAATTTTCCTATTAAATATGATCTTTTTAAAGTAAAAGTACAATTTCTGATAAATATTTAATCTGAAAGTAACCCCAAACAGTCATTTAATTATTAAATCCCGTGTAAGTGCAAAAAGGTAAAGAATATGAGTATCGGTAAATAGCCTATCTTTCATTAGTTAGAGGGGAAAGGTATATATTTTAATCATTTTTTGTTATCATATGGCTATGTTCTTCATCATATTGAAGATTGAAAACATTGTGACAAAGACTTCTAAAAAATATTTACAAATATAGGGTGCGTAATTGACTAAAAATAATAGAGTTCCTTTGATTATTTTTTTTTAATGGTGGACTTATCTTTTATGTTAATTGAATAAAAAAGAAATTATTCTTGATAAAATATTGTTTAATATTATTCAGTTAAAAAGTTTATAAACGATGATGTTTGAAGAAGTATTTTTGTGATTTTTCATATTCCCTTAATGACAAGTACCCCTAAAAATATTTGAAAATGTGAAGTCGCAGTATGTAAATACCATACCAAGTTTCACAGCCTGTTCTAGATTAAAAAACAAGGAAACATATCATGATATCTTAACTGATTGATAAGCAAGTACTAATTTATCATTTTGAAAAGTTTGAAAATCTTGTGACAAAGACTTTTCCGACATTGGTTCTACCTTAATTCTTGTTTTACTCCACCCTTTTACTCAGTTCTGAGTATATTTTTCAGAGAATTTAATATGAAAATCAGAACAAACATTTTCATTGTTGTAACGTCTTCTTTATAATGTATATTAATATGAAAAGTTAATTGAAGACCATTTCTTTTTATGTTCCCGTAATCGAAGATTCGGGGGTATATAATTTTATCGTGTTCGTCTGTATGTCCGTCTGTCTATCTGGCGGTTTTTTTGTCCGCAAAAGCCTTAACATTTACCATAACTTTTCATTTATTGGAGCTATGACTTTCATATTTAATATGTATATTCCTTGTGACAAGACCTTACTTTGGGTACCACCAAATTTGACCTTTTGACCTTTACCTTGGAGTTTGTCCCATTTTACACAAAAATGCAAAATTTTTACTTTGGCCATAACTTTTAAACGGTAGATACTAGTACTCTCATACTTCAAATATGTAGTTTTTTGGCATTACCTTTCATTGGATACTAAATACCTTGACCTTTTGACCTTGACCTTGGAGTTTTCCGTACTTATGATTTTTTTTACCTTGGCCATAACTTTTGAACGGTAAGTGCTAGGGTATTCATGCTTCACGTATGTAATCCTTGTTACATTAAACATTTTCTTAAGAAATCATCAACTTTGACCTTTGAGTTTGACCTACCTTTCAAAAACTTATCCTTAGCCATTACTTTTGAACAAGTGGTGCGAGGGCTTTCCTATTTTGCAGTTGTATTTCTTATGAGAAGACCCTACTTTGGGTAACAATATATTTAAATTGCATTTAAGAAAAGTTTAATCTTCGCTATGTTGCCATACAGGGGCATAGCTGTTTCACAAACACATCTTTTTATATATGAGGATGGATACCTCAAAGCGTAACAGACAGAGGGACGGACATCCCGATCACTATATACCCTCCCGCTTTTCAAGCGGAGGATATAATAATATATAATACTGCTGATTTTTTCTGTCAGTTCGATGATTTCCACCATCAAAAAACAATGTTTACCTAACCCTTGAGGCTTGATAAATCTTTTACTCCTTTAGATTCTGAATCATTGCATTTACCTTAAAATATAGCTATAATTGTATAATGTTCTGAGATCAACATATCATCAGTCTATTCCCAATAAGCTCAGGTGAGCATTTTGGCCAATATGCTTCTTTATCCAATTTTTTTTTTGCCCCCTAAAAATATTAGCTTTAATAAACAGGGGGTCATTTTTCTACGGGGGTCATTTTTCTTCACGTGGGTTCTGCAAATTTTTAGGGAAGTGACACTTTTTCTACGGGCAAAAGGGTCATTTTTCTACGTCGAATAATGACCGGGGGTCATTTTTCGCTGTCGAAAAATGACCCCCCGGTCATTATTCGATGGGGGTCATTATTCGTCTTTACACCGGCTGTCCTTATCGTCTTTTTGCCGACAGTGACATATGCAAAGTGTACTAACTGACTACACTGAGTTAATTTTCTAGGACGTTTTGCAGGCTTTCACAATTCCTAGCAGATGCTTTGGTGAGTGTCTTTTCTGTATCTTTTAGGTGTCCCTCTTCCATTGATTTTGGTTTAAATTGTTCCTCAGATTGATCTTTTTCTGTTTTTTTTTATTTTCATAAAACTTAACATGTGGGCGGTGTTGAAAATTTCATGTCCACAATTCACTGACATAAACATCAATACATTTGAGTGCATCTTAGCACTGAAAGAAAAACCTAGTGAATTTAACTAGTGTGCCTCGTAAAGCGTTGGTCGTGATTAGTAAACTTTCATTTTACTGGTTAAGATAGTGAGTTGTGGAGCGGGGGTCGTATAGATACTTAGATACCTAGTGAAAGTTACTTGTATCAATTCTAAATTTACTAATCTTATCTAGTAAATATACCAATATCTGGTAAAACTACTTTTAAGGTAGTGATTGTATGGACAGTAAATTTACTAGTTTTCTTCGTGACTTTAACTAGTTATTTTTTTACAGTGTAGCGCACTGTGAGATGACGCTAGGTTTTATTGTTTCCACGCAATTTAAA